TTATATCCTTGTACAGAATAACGTAAATTGTTGAAAAAATAAATTTGCTTTCCGTGTTTATATAGTTCATGTTACACAACCATTTCTTTTATCTCATAAAAAACTCAATTATCAATTTCCAAACCAGATCTAATTCTAATCACCTTGTTTGGTTCAGAATTTTCAGAAATTTGAGTTTTTTATTTTTTGTATTTTCTTAATTTTTTAATATTTAAAGCATTTTTTTTTAGTTTTTAGATACACTTAACATAAAGAAAAATTTATCCATAAATCCTAGTTTCTGAAAAGTTGAAAGGGGTGAGCATGGTCCGGATTGGACCGGATTGGGGTAAAACCAAGACCAATCCGTTATCTACGGTTCCTGAAAAATTGGAACCAATCCAATCCATTTAAATCATGGAACCAATCCGAACCAATCCATTTAAATACGGATTGGATCGGTTTAGGACCACGGATTCATGTAATTAAATAACAAATATATATATATATATATATAACACTTTAATTTCATAAAAATATAAACATAGCGCTATATCAGTTCCATAATAGCAACATGTTTTTCTATAATAGTGACATATTGTTCTTGAATTTAAACAACCATAAGAAAATACAAACAAAAGTAATAAAATAAGATATTATACGGTTTTAGGTTTGAGTTTAAATTTTATATAGAATAAGAGAAGATACTATAAGGGAGGATGTATAATAAAAATATATACTATTTGTATACGGTCCGGATTTGTTCCAATCCGGAACCAATCCGTATACTACGGATTTTTAATTTTTCAATCCAGAACCGAACCACGGATTCAAAAAACCAATCCAAACCTATCGGATTGGACTGGACTGGATCGGATTACGGATTTCGCGGATTCCTTGCTCAGTCCTAATGAAATCAGTAGCATTATCCTACCATCAAGTAATACGGTTCCCCAACGATGCCGGGGTAATTGAAGAGGTCTTTGGAGACCAGATTATGTCCAAGCAATGCTTTGTCACGGTTAATGGTAGCCGCGCTGCCAAGGGATATGTTCATTCGGTCGAAGAACCTGAGAGCAAGGAACTGTTCGCAGATGTCGGCAAAGCGGCTGATCAAAAAGCGGTGGAAGACTTGGTAGAGGTAAGAATAGATAAAAAGAACCCGGATAAGTTCTTTTTGCTCGGTTCGTCGCTGTCCAGCACTGAGAGATTAAAGGTCTTGGAATTCTTAACCTCTAACATCGAAGTGTTCGCCTGGACACCCTACGACATGCCAGGCATTAATCCAAACTTCATCTGTCACCAACTCAATGTCCACCCATCCGCCAGACCAGTCATTCAGCGCACTCGCAGATCGGCACTTCACCACGCCGAGATAGTGGCAGAAGAAGTGGGAAATCTGCTAGAGGCAGGAGCTATCAGAGAGGTGCACTACCCCAGATGGATTTCCAACACAGTCGTGGTGCCAAAAAAGATTGGCAAATGGCGTGTCTGCGTCGACTATAAGACAGTCAACAAAGCATGCCCAAAGGACAACTTCCCCCTACCACGGATAGATCAATTGGTAGACCTAACGGCGGGGCACAACCTCGAGAGTGGGTCACCACTGAGAGTGGGTCACCGGTGAGGGTGGGTTCAGTAGAGGAGAAGGGGTGAGTGTGAGGCTGAGTGAGAGTGAGTTCCAAAACAAAATGTGTATAACCTGTATAGCTTTGGGTTGGAAAATTTCAGTTTTAATTTGTTTTAATTTTTTTTCTTGAAGATCTGGACCATTGGATCTAGGTTAGGGCATCAGAGCCGTTGCACGTAGGAAGTGAATGAGAGAAGTGAAGGAGGGGATCGGGACTCGTGAATGATCTCTCGTGGGCCAAATTTTCACACCACATATTTTTTTCATATTTCATCTCCCATCTCTCTATCATGACTCACATTGCCTCTCTAAACCATCTAAGGTTATTTCATATAATCCTAAAGTCCTTCTAGTTATGGGAAGTAGGTCCTTCACCCATAACAAATCATTAGTTCTCACTTCCTAATCTAGTTGATGCAATTCAAGTTGTTTGCAAAAGTGCTTACCTGGTTTCTCTTCAATGACACCCTTTCAGATAAAGTCCAAAAATTAAATATTGCTACTATTAGTATGAAAGAAAACATTATATGGCTATACAATGATTGGAATGTTTTGAAATTATAATCTCAGTGCAATGCTAGAAAAATAATATATGATAAAATTCACTTTACTCCCTTGTAGTTTGAGTCAGAAGTATTTTACCCTCTAATAATTTAAATACAAGCACATACCTCCCCTATCGTTTTAAATTTAACTGCAATCATTACACTTTTCGTCCAAACTAACATACGCAGGAAAATTTGGAGAGTGGTTCCTTTTCTAATTTTATTTAATATGTAAATTTAATTTTTTAACAACACTAAAAAAATTATAAGGCCATAATTTTTAATTTATTATTTTTAATTAAATTTAATTTATAATTTATATTTTTTATTTAATATATAATTTTAAATTAACAACACTAAAAAAATAATTTTAATTTAATATGTAAATTTAATTTTTTAACAACACTAAAAAAATTTAATTTATAAGGCCATAATTTTTAATTTATTATTTTTAATTTAATTTAATTTATAATTTAATTTTTTTTTTAATATATAATTTTAAATTAACAACACTAAAAAATAATTTATAAATGTTCAAAAGATTATTTTACCATTTTCTAATTGTTTGCTAAGTAATAATAGCATGGGGGTAAAATGGACATTTCAAAGCCTAATCCCATGGAAATAATTCCACCCCCCATGGGATAGGATAGTCCCACAAATATGAGACTAATAGTCCGGAGCAAAAAAAATTGAAACAAACAATGGACTATTAGTCCGGTGGGACTAATAGTCTAATCTTATACCCTAATCCTTCAAAACAAACCCACCCATTTAGTTTTATGTCAAATAGTGTCTAAATTCAAAAATTTATTAAAGAATTATTTGAAATGATCTAAATAAATATATTTATTAATTTTTTATAATTTTTTTTACAATATAATAAAAAAATAAGATAAACAAAATGATTTAAATCACCAAGACAATCCCTAAATTTTTTATAAACAGTTTTAATATTATTATTATTTTTAATCTCTCTATTTCTTCTAATTTTTTCATTCGTATCAAAACCAATCCATTCAAACACACCTAGTAAATGAGCAATTATTGGTTGGTTTAGAATACCGTTACGTTTCTCAATAGTATTAGGATGATTAGAGAATACAAAAATTCATGATAAATTGTGGTTGATGTAAGATATTTGAAAAGTCAAAAATTAACTTTGTTTTAGTTAAAATTTACAAAAAGATAAAATAAATTTTAAGAGTCAATAATTTTAATATTATTGACAATTTTAATATTATTATTATTTTTAATCTCTCTATTTCTTCTAATTTTATCAAAATCAATCCATTCAAACACACTTGGCACCATTTGGGAAGAGTTAAAGTGGATTTTTTTTAGTTATTTTAGTCACAAAAGTCAAAATAAACTATTTTAGTCATAAAAAATAAAATATCACATCCAACCCATAATCATTACACTCTTTTCTTACAAAAAAGTCAAAAAGTCATTCTTAAACCAAGCTTTTTAGCCCAAGCTAAAATAACAAAAAAAACTAAAAAGTCAAAGAACCAACCCACTTCCCAAACCAACCCATAGTAAATGAGCAGTTATTGGTTGGTTTGGGATATCGTTTCGTGTCTCAATAATGTTAGGATGATTAGAGAATACAAAAATACATGATAAATTGTGGTTGATGTAGGATATTTGAAAAGTAAAAAATTAACTTATTTTAATTAAAATTTACAAAAAAATAAAATAAATTTAAATAATTAGTAAGATAAAATATCATATTAAGGGCTAGTTTGGCATGTACTAAATAAGTCAAAAAGTCAAAAAGTCACTATCTTATTTAAGTCACATCATCTTATTTAAATCACATCACCTCTCTAACACATCACATCAAACCCAACCCAAACCCGTGATGTTGAAGCTTCTTTGAGTTGGTGTCCCAGTGTTTTTTGAATTCATTGATCTTCTTTTCAATTGTTTGGGCTTGATTTTCTTGGCTGGTTTTGTTTTTTAATTTCTTCTTCATTCATCCGTGAATTAATAGTTGTAAATGTTACCGACACCGCCAATCTATAAATATAACTATCCTTTCTTGTTGCAGTACACAAAACATAAAGGTCAGAACGTTGAGTTCACAGGTTTCATTGAGTTTTCACAGGTTTGATGGTGTCTAAAATGAAAATATTGCACTGAAGAGAGGAAGAGAATTTCTCTGGATTGAATTTTCTCTGGTTGAATTTTCTCTGGATTGAATTTTCTCTGATTGAATTTTCTCTGGATCGAATTTTCTCTGAACTGAAATTTCTCTGGATTGATGTTGAAGGACCTTAGACATCATGAAAATAGTTGATGTCCTTTATACTATAAAATCATAATATCAAGGATTTTAAAAAAAATGCCCCTAAAAAAATTCAATATTTTTTCAAACATAAATATTTTAACATAATAAAAATTTAAAAAACCAATCGCAATGGTCAACTTTTCAAATGAGGTGAATGTCTCCTTGGGAAGAGTGACAGTTAAAAAGATGCAACGGAAATTAAGTATAATGTTATATACACCAATTAAGTAATGTTTATTTAGACAAATTAAATTAGGTTGAATTAGCATTTTCATAACTAATAGTTTAAATATTACAAATCCCTTTAAATAGTTTATCGTATCCTATATTTGAATTGAGTTAACTATTTATCATATCTTATATTGAATTGAGTTAATTAATAATTTTATCAAATTATTAGGCTAATCTCAAATCCATGTCTACCTAAATAAACATAATTTTAATATATTAATTAATGTATCAATTGATAATGTGATATAATTCAAGAAATTTTTAATTTTTATAATATGATTGATGAGTGACGTCAATAACTAATATTAACAATAATAAGTACATAATTAATGCATGTAATAACACCACAGAAATTAAACCCTCTGTACTTTTTTAGGTTGAATTTCCATTCCATTTCCACTCTCTCATTTGTCTGTAGCAATGGCGAAGAAGCGGAAGAGAGTACCGGAGGTTCTATGGAGGTTATTCCACAACCGCGCTCGCACTCTAGCCGATACCGTCATCTCTTTGATTCCACCATCTCCGCCGCCGGCCGAGTGCCGTTGCGAAGGGCGGCGATGCCTCGGTTGCAGCGGCCAAGGTTACATGTCGTTCCTCCTCAGGCCAGACGACCCCTCTGAGTATCGGAAACTCTTAACTCACTGCTTCGTTGTCGTCTCCGACAATGCTCCTCCTCTCTCAACTTTCCGTCCCGACTGTCGCTGGTCCCAAGACGAGGTCTCTCTCTCTCTCTGTCTATGTATGTGTATTTTTATACTACCAATTATCTTTGATGGGAGGACTAATCATTGTTTATTATTTATTTATAAGAATAATACGCATCACTAAAGTAGAGACGCAAAATAATTTTTAAAATTTAAAAATATTTTTATGGATCGTTTGTCAATTATATATTTTAATAAAAAATAAATTAAAAGATCTAAGTTGTTAAGCATCTTCGGGGATAGTTAAATAAAACTTATTAGGTATTTTAGTGAATGTAAGTCTAATTTTGAACTCCAATGGGTTAGCTATTGGGCTAGCTACTTAACCATCTTATTTTTTTGATGGCTACAATTGAAAAGCCCTAGAAACTCTCCAAACAATTATGTATGTATATATTTTAGATTTTTGTATATTTATGTCTTGGATTTGGAATTTTATATATATATGTGTGGGTGTGTGTATGTAACAATTTTATATGTTCTTTCAATTGCGAAATAACTTATTTTGTATTTTTTTTTCTCCTCATTCTACAGGTTTTGTATGTTTGTATGGGCAAATTTATTATTATTGCAAATTTATATTAGTAAATATCAACAAGTAGTATTTTTTTATTTTAAAAATTAATTAAGTTAGTTTAAATGATTAGCTAAAATAAAGAGCATGGTTGGAGAACACAATAGTTAAAGTAATTAGGTAAAATAAAGAGTGTACTTTTTTTGTAATTTAGCTAGTGAAAAGTAGAAAGTGGTTGGAGTTGCTCTTATATCATGCTCTCTATTTTTTTATATTTTTTTTTCCGTAAAAAGTAAAAAAATTATTAAAATAACATATTCTCAAACGAAATCTTAGTTCACGTACCTATGGTCACCACTTGTCTGTTTCAATATACACCAAAACTCTCCATCTTCAAAATAGAGACCATCTTTGCCGGTGGTGATCTCCATCGTAGGTGTTGAACTTCATTGCCAGCGGATGGTTTCATTCAGCCTCCATCTTTGCTAGTGTTGATCTCCATCGTCGGTGTTGAACGCTCGTCGTTTTAGATTGCCGTGGAGGGTTTCATTCGGCCTCTATATTCATCGGTTTTAATCTTCATCGTCAGTATTGAACTCTCATCATCGTTTTGGATTGCCATTTTCACCCTTGATTCGATTGTGTATTCAACAACACAATCAGTTTCAACCTTGTTACATAACAAATGAATACAGACTTAATGGGTTCAAAAATTTATATCTAAACAAAGAATAAAATTTTAATTTATTTTAACCGAACTAACTTAAAATGTTCAATTTTTAATGTATGAACATGTAATATTTGATCAATTTTAATAATTTGAACAAAATTGTGTTGTTCAAATATAAATAATCAAACAATGTGTAAAAGTTCGACTCTGATTATCCGAACACATGACGAACCAATTCATCTTCCCAACATACGAATGAGATAAATAAAAAATCAAAAAGCTAAATCATAAACTAACATTTTCAATGTTTATATCGGAACCAACTATCTCAATGTTATCCACGGTGTGCAAATCTTCAAAACTAATCGATTTCAATATACTTAAACCTTAGATCTTCAAGGACAATCACCATGCTTGGTTGTGTTTTTTCAAAAACACTTTTCAAAAAATTCTACTTTTTTGTTTTCCGTGTTTTTTTGTTTTTACTGAATGTTTTTAATAATTTAAGTAATTTTTTTTTACTTTTTAGACATACCTAACATAAATATATCTAAAAAGTAAAAAATTTGTGAAAAAAACCTTTTAAAAATTCACTAAATACCAAAAATACAAAAAAAAAAAAAAACGAGAATTCAATACATTTTTTTATATTTTTATGTATTTATTAAAATTTTAAAATATTTTTTCACAATTTTTTTACTTTTTAGATACATCTAAGTAAGGTGTATCTAAAAAAGTAAAAAAAATGTTTAAAATTTTAAAAATATTCACTAAAAACAAAAAAACACGAAAACCAAAAAACTGAGTTTTCTAAAAACTTAATTCAAAAAACTCAAACCAAACACACTGAATAATGTTTTGAGTTTGGAAAATAAGTACAACGGAGAAGAAAATAAAGTGAGCTAATTGATAATGAATGATATTATGAGTGTAGTATGTTAATGGTGAAGATGATACAGTGTTTATATGTTTAAACCCTAAACCCTATAGGTGATGATAGTGTGTGAAGAGTATTTTGTGTTTTTAAATATGAAATATTTGAATGAGTAGAATACACCCTCATATTGTCCTTAACGGTCTTTTTTTTTGAGAATATAATTGAAATATAAATTTAATCTGTTAATGGTGTGTACTAAAAGGATTAGTGGTGTAAATAGAATCTCCCAAAATAAATTTGTTTGAAATGACCAATTTGCACCCTTCTCCCTCGTTTTGCCTGTTGTTAGCATGTTTGGAATTGTTTTCGGTTTCTTGACTTATTAGTTTTAGTTTTAAAAGATTGTTTTTAATTTTATTTTTGGGGTAGTTTTTAGTGAAAATTTCCTGCATATTTTTATTAATTTTGTAATCTTATTTTATTCTTTAGATGTGTCTAACCTTGTGAAATAAATGTGAAAGAGTTCATTAAAAGGGCAATAAAACGAAAATGTGGTATTTTTATTTTTTTGACTTCAGTGAATTTAAAAAAAAAAATTACAAATATTTTATTTTTAGTGCATCCAGATTAGATTGAGTACATTAAAAAAGTAAATAAATAAAAATCACTAAGCAAGATGATCGTCTAAGTGGCATTGTGGAAAAATGTAGATTGTTATGATTATTACTAGGGAAATAAAAACCCATTGATATTTCAAAATGTGTTTCTTCTATTTCTCGCATGTTCAATGTCATTTTCATTTAGATTCTTCATGAACCAACAAAAGATTGTTGACCTAGTCATTTTTGGGGAAGATAATGGGTAATATGTAGTTTTTTTGGCCTTTATTTCTTTATTTCATTCTTTCTTTTGTTGTCAGGAGATTTTTGATCTTATACTACGTTCACTTGAAAGGGAATGGTGTCACCTTAGTCATCATTGCTTTTTTCTAAATGGGGGTATTATGGCCTAAAGGCAAACATGTTGGAAACTTGTGCTTCTTATTTCATTTTATATTTCCCTTGTTTCATGTTTGAGTTACCCTACCTTAGGTGAATTTCTATTTTGCTTCCATCTGCAAAACAAAAATTAGATGTATTAGTCAGGCGCACATAAAGTCCTTGGGCTTGCGCCTTTTAGTATGCTCTAGGCTCAAGAAATGCATGCTTTTTTTTTAATTTTTAAATGCAGTTGTGTCTTTGTCTTTATCTTTTATATTTGTTATTGGTCACTAATTGATAGTCCTTTTGTCATATTTATGGTTGTATAGCTAGAAAACATCTTAATAAGCTTGTTTTGTGGCTTGTGTCAATGTGCCTTTACATTGCTAGTTGAATTAATACATCATAATTTATGTGCCGGGATATTTTCTATTTAAGCTGCCCTGATATGACTAGGCAGTATCTTTGGAAAAAACTTACCTTAACTTTTGAGAGCATGAAAACAATTTGTTCTCTAAAAAGCAAGCCAAGTATTTCTCAAATGCTATTCGAACAGTTAAGATTTATATAAATCCCGTATATCTGACCTGTTAGTACTTGTTATGGTTACAGATTGTTAAAGGGACTATCGAAATGATAATGCGCCAGCATTCCCCTTCATCAAATGTCTTATGCAGTGATTATGATATGGCAAGTGATTTTCTGATGAACTTCTATCTTTGTGCTACTTTGTTGCTCTTATCATTGAGTTGATGATTCCTTTACGTTGTATCAAAACTTTATTTCTCTTGCTCTGAGTTGGCTGCGTGAGAACTTCTCATTTTTATGCTATTGTCTATCTTGTTCTTCTCTATTGTGCATTTTAAATTTTCTACCAGCTACATGGATCTCTTTTCATTAGGATTGTCATTCCCTTAATGCATTTGGAAACTTATCTTAGCTTTCATGTTCTTATTTGTCAAAACATGTTTTTACTATTAACCAGTCTGAATATGCTCATTAAACCTTTTTGACCTTTTTGTTGCATAATCGTGGTATTGATGATATTTTTGATAGATATGTTACAAATTTTTGTTTAAAAAGAGTAACTATTCTTGAACATTCGAAGTTTCATACTTTGAGTATATTCAAACACTCTGCCTTTATCTACAAGGTATGTCAGGATATGTATTCTCTCTTCTCATCAAGAGCTGTGCTGGCTTTTTAGTGACTTTGTCAGACTTTCATTGTGTTGTTTGTATAACTGATAAAAATTTGAGGACAGTCAAACCATTGTTTAGTTTGTCAAAGTCAATACTCTGCATATAGGGTAGTCAGCAATCAAACTCATAGTATACAATCAACTTGGAGAATGTAGACCTTGTCAATAGATGTTAGCCATATTGCAAATGCGTGCAAAAAATAAGGGAATGTGGCCTTATGGAAAGATTAGAGGTCTTCTCCCTTGGATGATTGAAACTCATTTCTTGAAATCTCTTTCAAATTAAAAGTTGAGGGGTCCCATCCAGAAATGGGGCATATTTACAATTTTTAATAGTTGAGGGGTCTAAATGAAAGGTTTTAAAATTGAGGGGGCTAAAGTGATATTTCAATGATTGTTGAGAGGGTGTCTGAGTAACTAACCCTAAAATTTAGTAAGGAAACAATTTACACTTAAAGTAGGTTTTGTTGGAATGAAAATGTTTAGATGGATGAGGTAGTACAAGAAATGAATGAATTCAAGGGAAGTTGTAAGAGACGTCATTTAAAGATGAAATGAGTGGAAGTTGTTTGAGATGGTTTGGTTATGTGTAATGTAGATTGAGGTGGAAGGTGCCAAAATGATGAGAGGAAGGCCAAAAGAGGTGTGGGTTGATTTTGTGATGTGATGAATTATGATGATTTACTCAACGGAGAAGCTACGTGCTGTAGTACGTAAGCTCTACTCAGCCTAGAGCATTGATTCTGCATAACCGGATCCTTGTAACTGAGGCCAAATATTTGGGGGTTAGCATTGTTGAGTTGAGTTTACTGCATATCAATTGCTTGTTAAAAGAGTTACTTCTTCGCTGAGCACGGCCACATTGGTTTGAATACTTCTTGATGTACTGGAGCTTTTGTGGGTAGAAGATACTGTTTTGTTTGCTAAACGTGCACCTGGGTTAACCAGGTTACTGCAGCTTTGTTGCAGGAAATTTGTTTACCTGACAAATTGAAGCAATACCTAATAGATGCAGTGTCGAAGCAGAGGCTATTACATCCTTGAGGTTATGGATGCTGATACTAATATTGCGAGTAAGCTGGTTAGCACAAAAAAACAAGCCTTATTGAAATTGTAATGCATTAGAATTATGGGATAAATTTGTACAATTTACTGAAACTGCTGGTTTGTTCATGTGAAGGGTACCTTATTGGGCATACAAGGCCATGCAAATGGCAAGTAACATGCCATTGGTTATCTTAATTTCATTATTTTACTATTTCTGTTAGAAGGAATTTAAATGGTTTGTATGATTAAGGTGGAGCAGTTTGTTGGTTGATAATTAATGCTTCTGTATTGATAGTTACCATGTAATATCTGGCAGCGTCACCGTTCAAGCCCCACCATAGAGCTTTTAACTTGTTTAGCATGGGGCCTTCTCTTAAGAAGGGTAGGTAATGGGTACTTTGACATGTTTTTTGTTTGAAATCATCACTTTATTTTCTTCTTTGGAACATCTGTGTGTGTATATTATAGATGATCAGGGTAATATGATATGCAGGTTGGGGATGGAATCATGGTGTATTTGTTGAAGTATACTTCAATATTTTTGCCACTTCCTCGAAAGCAACACTATCAGGTGGCAGGTTTTCCTATCAGTGATTTTTGCTTTAAATCAAAGCATATATCAAAGCCTAATTATCAGCATTCTTCACTTGTCCTCGGTAAAGAAGAATTGGATCTTATTCATTTCTTGAAGATATCTGACTATATGTTGAGTTCATCATATTTTATTCTTATAATTTTTTCTTATACTAGTGAAAAGATGGGATGCAATTTGCAGTTTAATTTTTTTTTTTTTAAATGTTGCATGGACTCGGGTACAAGTATCGCATGCGGGTGTGTGTCCGAGTGTTACTCCTTTATGAACCTAAATCTTAGGATATTGCATTGGGGATGTGCCATGGACACATATATATTACATATTGTATTATTAGATATTTTATAAGTTATGTAACAATGTCCTTGAAATTAAATAGCATTTAGAAAAAATATGAAATTTCTATATCGCATCCATGTGAGAAGCTTGAAATGTTTCTTTATTAGCAAATGTGAGTTTCTTCCTTTTCAAAAATTGTAAAAAAATTAGAGGATCCAAGTTTTTAAATTAGGTACAGGCGTCAGACACATCCCACACCCTTACCCTTGTCATATCTTGTAGACATAAGTACTGAGAGAAATAGAAGAGTTCATGTAACAAAGGTTTATTTGTCATTTTATCTATCAAATAGTGTGCGTTAATGAAAAATGGTTTATCAGGTTTCTAATGTTATATGGTTTGAAAATTGTATACAAAGTGGGTTACACTGGGTAAATCCTTTACGTGCTTTTAACAATTCTGAATTAGAATTATGTATGCAGAAATATTTTACTACTAGACCATTTTTTAAAAATTGATCCTGGTTGTGTAACCCCCCTTGTTAACTCACTCGCCGTGAATGTTTTATTGTATTACAAATGATAGTTCTTTGGAAACTCTCAGTTCGATGGGATGATGCCTTTCAGAACTTTGATCGTATATGTTTATGGAAGGCATTCCTTCTCAAAATCTTTGGCATATTACACACAGAGTGGCTTCTCTCACACTTGTTATGTATGCATGTAGGGATATATATGTTTTTACACAACTAATATATACGTAGCCTATTGTTTTTCCTTGGGAATAATGCTTAGCAAAAAGGGTAAAAAAAGTACTGTTGGAAATAAGACAAATGCTAAATATCAACTTGGCTACACAAATTTTCCTACATATCAACTTGGCTACACAAATTTTGTTTTTTCGTCTTACTATATCTACTACACACATATTTGGCTAAAAAATAGGCTTGGCTGTTTCTGACTGTGTTTATGTATGTCGTTTATTATTCTTCCTGAATAATTCCTTTTGAAGCATTAGCTTTCATAGTGAGCTAATGGGGGTGTTGGTTTGAGGCTAAACTAGCCAATAAAGGCAAAAAAAAAAGCCTAAAATAGCCAATAAGACAAATTGTCACATCTTACACATCAATCAATCACTTTTTCTCTCATAACATCCCAAACGCAACTTTTTTTCATTGGCTAAAATAGCCAAAAAGCCAACTAAAATAGCCAACATCCCAAACGAGGTCAATATGCCATTACATCGCAGTTAAATTTCAAGTTCTCCTTATTGTAAGTTGAATGTGACATATCTTCCTTCAAACTAAAACTCTAGTTGTCGTCTTTTGTTATGATAATATTATTGATATGTGAAGATAGAAAGAAAAAGATTGATAGGCCAAATAATTAGTCAATTGTTGAAGTTGGGATAATATTTTCAAGAACTTCTAAGCTGAAGTCGCAGAGTCAAACTTGTTCGTGTCAGAAGAGAGTGAATTGGCAAAACTCCAAGGAACATTTTACCAATTAAAAAATTAATTGGATGTTAGTTTTAGTTTTCTAATGATTAGTTGGTTTTCTCTTCCCTCAAGTTAAACCGATTTGAAAATTTAACTCAGCCAAGTTAAACATATGTTGTTAAAAGCATCCACAGACAAATCGCAACAAGATAGTAGACACATTGATTTAACATGGAAAACCTTGAGGAAAACTCTCTTCAAGGGAAAAACCACGAACACAACCAACCAACTAGGCATCGCTTTTGACTTACGTGTACCCTACTTTGGTCTTAGGTGGTATTGGAGGCTTCTCTCTATGGTGAAGGGGTAGTAGTTTGGGCGTCAAACCCTTGGTTAAAAGCAGGGGATGTTTCATTGGGAGGAGGAGGATTCGTTATCTAGAACAAAAATACAATTATTAGGCTATTTATGCTTATAGGAATCAGAGTAAACGAGAGAAAAAATTCAGATTATTAGAGCCATTTCAACCCAAAAAATAAAAAAATAGCAACATGCCACAATAGAGTATTACAGTAGTCAGAGAGCTAAAACTAAACTAAAAACAGTAATCATGAGAGTATGTTTTAAGTGCACTTTTGTATATGTGTTTTGCTTTAACTACTAAACACTCAGTTTGGTTTTAGTTTTCAGAATTCACTTTTCACAAAATTCTACTTTTTCATTTTTCCGTAATTTTTTGTTTTCATTGATTTTTTTTTAATAATTTAAGCATTTTTTTAAAATTTTTAGACACACTTAACATAAATACACTTAAAAAGTATAATATTTGTGAATTTGTTTTTTAAAAAATTCACTAAATACCAAAAATACAAAAAATATATATATACAAAATTCGCTACATTTTTTGTATTTTTTAATTTTTTAAAATATTTTACTATTTAGATACATCTAAGTAAGGTATATCTAAAAAAGTAAAAAAAATTGCTTAAAATTTAAAAATATTCACTAAAAACAAAAAAACACGAAAAATAAAAAATTCAGTTTTCAAAAAACTAAATTCAGAAAACTGAAACCAAACACACAGAAAAGTTTTTGTGCTTTGCGCTTTAAGCATGCTTTTTACCAAAACTGCATTTTCCTGTTTTGGTTGCAACCCTGAAATGAGCGGGGAAATATTTTTTGTTGTTTGGCTAGTGGGGAAAGTCATTATTATTTCATGCTTCCAAATAATTATATAAACAAGAACTTTCATTCACAACATGAATATTATTTAGAGCAACTAGAAAATCAACCTAGCAAATGGCCTTGTCGCATATTGGCGTCACCCCAACGCTCCCATGGGGAGGTTAGGGGTTCAAGTCCTGGTAGGGTCATGGGTGTTGGGGTGGGTTTGGGAGGGGTGGAGTATTTGGGAGATTTTGCTGATAAAAAAAATAAGAAAAATCATGGGTGTTGGGGTGGGTTTGGGAGGGGTGGAGTATTTGGGAGATTTTGCTGATAAAAAAAATAAGAAAAAAAGAAAAGAAAATCAGCCTAAAATTAATTTTTTTTTCTAAAGACACATTCACTAGTTGTGGCAGGTTGGTGGCAGTGGTGGTGGCAAGATGGTGGTGGTGGCAATGATAGTGGTGGTGGTAAGTTGGGGTGATGATGGTGGAGCTGGTGTGGTGGCAGTAGTGGTGAGGGAGTGACGGTGGTAGTGGTAATTCTAGTTAGGTCTGAAAAATGTTTTATGCCTTTTGAAGGTGGAAAAATATTTTCCTCCCAAATCAACTCATTTTCCTTTCCATTGATTTTTGTTTTCCATCATACCAAATACAGTAAAGCGCAAATTTGTTTTCCATCAAAACAAATGAAGCGTTATCTATATAACAACTACCTATTCCGTTGTGAATTCATGTATAACCTTGATTATTAATTGCATCATCTTTGGGCACTTGATGCCTTTGCTGGATATTTTTCTTGACATATTAGGCCTGATTCATTTTTGGACTGTCCTTAAACTGTACTGTTTTTTTTTTTTTTTATGTTCTTTACCTTATTGTAGCAGCAATTCATCTTTCTCTTCTTTTACTGGTTATATTTTATTCTGTTTTCATTTGCTTTTGTACAATTTGTTTTTTATTTTATTTCCTTTTTCAATTAATTAATTTGTAGTTTTTGAAGTCATTACTTCTCAAGATTGATCAGATATTGTACCCTTAGGAATTTGACAGATTGGTGATTGTCTTCAAACTTTTTATCAGGATCTGGAAAAAAAAGGAAAAGAATTGATGAAGTTGACTTAATGTCAGAGAAAGAGCAATCCAATAGTGCCTTTGGTGATATTGTTCCCTCAAGTTTAGTTGGTTGTTTTGGTTGTAACAGTACAAGTTATTCAACTTCATTCAGCCTCTCATTTGTCTGTAGCAATGGCGAAGAAGCGGAAGAGAGTACCGGAGGTTCTATGGAGGTTATTCCACAACCGCGCTCGCACTCTAGCCGATACCGTCATCTCTTTGATTCCACCATCTCCGCCGCCGGCCGAGTGCCGTTGCAAAGGGCGGCGATGCATCGGTTGCAGCGGCCAAGGTTACATGTCGTTCCTCCTCAGGCCAGACGACCCCTCTGAGTATCGGAAACTCTTAACTCACTGCTTCGTTGTCGTCTCCGACAATGCTCCTCCTCTCTCAACTTTCCGTCCCGACTGTCGCTGGTCCCAAGACGAGGTCTCTCTCTCTATGTATGTGTACTTTTAGGGGCTTTTCCCATATTAAGCCTCTTTTGCATTTTATTTCCCAAACTGTCTAGTTTTGTAAGAACCTAAATTTTTAGACAACTAATTAGTTTATTTATAATAATATTAAGCCAATCTATAGTGATTGTTAAACCTTTAAATTATAATATTAGTAAGACCATAATTAATATCAATATTAAATTCTTTTAAATAAAATTATTTATCCTTGGTGTTGTATATTAGGATATAATGAAGAAATTCATTTGGCTTTTAATTTTTATGCGGCAACTTATAATTTTGGGACCAATTAATGCAGAGATGGAAAGTACCGACCAACTGTTAATCTTCTCCGCAAGTACCTTGGAGATTTTATAATTGCTTCATATTTGGATGTTGTACAAGAATCTGGGTATGATGATGCATATATGAAGGAAATAGAGGTAACATCCTTCCTATGCATTCTCTAGGTGATGGATCAGATTCTTTACTTTTTCTTTTTTTGATAAATAGGGATCAGATTGGGCATTGCTTGTTAGTATGACCTAACCATCCGTGAACACACGCAGGATACCTCTAGGTCTACCTGAAAATAATAAAATTTCAATTATTGTAATTGTTAGACCTAAAAACCATTGATATAATATATATGTATTTGGTGAATTTACATCACCACTTGGGGCCTCTCTCATCTAAGTGAATAGCATTGTTATCTTTGAAGATGAGAATTTTAAATCAATTCTTTTATTCCCCAACTCTTCTTGCACATGAATATCTTTCACAGACACTTTCGGTCTCCAAAATTGACTCGTGATCATTTTACTGACTTAAAAAAATTATTTTTCACTTTTTGTGTTTCTTGTGGAATGCAGAGGGCAGTTCTTGTGAAAACTCTAGATTGTTTCTGGAGGGATCATCTTGTCAACATGAACAGGCTCAGTTCGGCGGTATAGTTCATAATTTTGTGGATTCAACTCTTTTAAGTTATTTTATTTTATTTTTATTTTGTGTGTGTGTGTGTGGGAAAAGGCTTATTTGGAATGTGTTTATGTAGGTAAATGTCAGAAGTTTCGGGCACAGGAATCCACTTGAAGAATACAAAATTGATGGTTGTCGATTCTTCATTTCTATGCTCAGTGCAACTCGAAGGCTAACTGTAGAATCACTCTTGCGGTATTGGTCATCTCCCATGGAGTTAAGGCTTTAGGACCTGATGATATCCCTATTGAAGCTTGGAAGTGTTGGTAAAAAGGGAGTTGCTTGGTTGACTAGGTTGTTTAGTAAAATTTTGTTGACTAGGAACATGCCAGATGAGTGGAGAAAGAGTATTTTAGTGCCAATCTATAAGAATAAAGGAGATGTCCAGAATTGCAACAACTATAGAGGAATCAAGCTAATGTGTCATATAATGAAAGTGTGGGAGAGGGTGATAGAATGCCGATTGCGAGATATAACAAAGGTGTCAGAGAATCAATTTGGGTTTATGCCTGGCAGGTCAACAATGGAAGCAATCTCTCTTTTGAGGAGAGTAACAGAAAAGTATAGAGAAAAGAAAAGAGACATTCATATAGTATTTATCGATTTTGAGAAAGCATATGATAGAGTGCCTCAGAATATAATATGGTGGGTGTTACAGAAGAAAGGGGTGACAAAAGATTACATTGATGTGGTTAGGGACATGTCTGAAGGGGTGGTGACCACTATTAGATCGCCGGTTGGAATGAATTTCCTATCACTATAGAATTATACCAATGATCTACCTTAAGTCCTTGTCTTTTTGCTTTAATTATGGATGAGTTGATGAGAAATATTCAGGATGACGTGCCATGGTGTATGCTTTTTGCAGACGATATCGTGTTAGTGGATGAGACTAGAGAAGGAGTTAACACAAAGTTGGAGATTTGGAGAAAAACACTTGAATCTAAAGGATTTCGAATAAGCAGAACTAAGACAGAGTACATGGAGTGTAAATTTAGTAATAGTAACAATGAAAGTTGAGGAGAAGTGAAGATTGAGAACCAAGAACTGTTTAAGAGTGAACATTTTCGTTATTTAGGGTCGATTATCACATCAACGGGGGAGATTGATACGGATGTGGCTCATAGGATTAAGGCGGGATGGTGTAAGTGAAGAAGTGCGTCTGGAGTACTGTGCGATAAACGAATACCCACTAGACTAAAAGGTAAGTTCTATAGAACGGCTACTAGACCAGCGATGTTGTATGAAACGGAGTGTTGGGCAACCAAGAAACAACATGTAGATAAGATGAGTGTGGCTGAGATGAGAATACTAAGGTGAATGTGTGGTAAGACTAGACAAGACAGAATTAGGAATAAGTGTATTTCGGAATGGGTAGGAGTAGCACAGATAGAAGATAAGTTGAGAGAGAATTGATTGAGATGGTTTGGTCATATTCAACAGAGATCAACAGAGGTAGTAGTGAATAGATGCGATGCAGTGAAAGTAGATGGAAGTGTTAGGGGACCAGGTAGGCCTAGATTAACGTTGGCTAGCATTGTAAATAGAGATATGGATTTACTTAATTTGACTAACGAAATGGCCTTTGATAAAGTCGCGTGGAGAAGAAGGATTCATGTAACTGACCCCATTTGATGGGACTTAAGGTTTGGTTTGGTATTACGATATTCTGACATAAGAGGTAAATTATTAGGAATGTACTTGGAATAAAAAGGGATTTAGGGAAAAATGGGGATTTAAATTTCTCATCAATATTATTAAGTTTTCCTTACTACCAAATGTAAGCTGCTTCTTCTTCGAATGTTGTTAAAATTAGAGAATCCTACTTTGGGTGTGAGTGTTGACACAGGTATACTAGGAGGAATAGAAGAGTCCGTGTAACATTGATTGCGAATATATTATAAATTAGTGTATTGTGTGAAAATTGAATTTGATGGTTTTGTGTGAAAACGAGTGTATTAAAAATAAAAAATGCTAGGGATGCCAAAAAAAACTACCAAACACACCCACGTGAGTATTGTGTAGAATTTTTTATAGTGTTTTTTTGGGTCCCTAGCATTGCTCATTAAAAATATGGCATTGATGATTTTTGTTGAATGACCCCACTGCATGATTTTCATGGCTATGCCACTTTTCTTTGCCTAGTTGCTAAGAAGCACTGACACTTCTAAAATGGTGGCGTGAACGTGTCGTGCACCTGACGCTAGTCGGACACTTCGCAGCATGTGTCGAACACATGTCCAGCATGTTCCATTATTTTTAAAATTTTGTTAGACTTGGACACATTTTGGAGTTCGGACACTTGGGTGACATTACATGTCCATTGCTTAGACACTCATGAAACCTATTAAAGAACTATTTTTTTTTGTAAATTTGTACTTATTAATCCCTCCTCTTTTAAATTCTAGAAATTAGTTTTAAGTTATTTTTTTTATTATCTTTAAATGAAACTATATTTTTTGTGCATATTCCCTACGCGTTGTGTCTTGCATTTTTTTCAAAATTGTTGGGCGTGCTTTGAATTGCAGAATTGCTGTTTTGGAGAGGATTGTTATCCCTAGTAGGAGGTTCCTGCAACGAAGGAATGGATCAACTATTGCAAATGTATCTGTTAAGATGTTTGTTGGAATTAGTAAATATAACTAGATTAAACGGAGTTTGTCAGAGCTAATATCTTAGATTTAGCTTATATTAAACATTTGTATGATGTTGATAAGCTACCTGTGACATTGCAGCTTACTAACTTTATGACATAGTGGCATCATTTTGTTGGGTCCTAATATAAGTTAATATTGGTATCTTTTGGCAATATCATATATTAACATATGCCCCTTGAAGAGTGCAGACAAAAAATGGCAAAAATCTTGAAATGTGTAAAAGGATTTTTTAACGTGTGCTCTTAGGGCTCATGTGAAGAAGCTTAAAAAGATTGTACATTTTGCATGAAAAGTGAGTGTAATAAAGAATGTACAATCTTTTTAAGCCTTTAGGGCACATGTAGCAAGACCCTATGTAAAATACCTGAAACAGTGAATATTTGTAGCAGTAAATATGTTTACTCAATGTGCTTTCGGGTTATCTTAACTCTATCATAATTTGTGATTGTATTGAATAAAATTTGGATCCTTGATGACCATGATTATTGGAGAAGCCTTTATTTTTAATGCTGTGGACACTGGATAAAATCTTCCCTTTTACCTTCAACAGTTTCTTTTTTCTGTTACTCATTAAGCCAATGTAGATTTCTCCAAGGACAAGAAAAATTAGAACCGAATATTTTTCTGTTCTCTCAAAACGTACTGTTATCAGTGAGTTCTCTGTCATTTCCTGGTGATATGAACCAAACCCAGATAGAAATAACACAATACATTTCTTCTGATTGTTATCATGTTAGGTAGGAGTTAAGCATCAGATGAGATGTAACACTGTAGGCAATGTTACAGTTAGAAAACTTACAGAATCATCTCAAACTCTAGAAGACTTATTTATACGTCAAAGTTTTATCTAAACAATGTATTAAATAACAAACCTATTTTGGACCATATTGATAAGGCTACAATATTGCGTATTATGCTTTAGTATCTCAAATCATGCTTGATGGAACTTGAGATGAGTAAATGGATTCTAATAGAGCCTTTCCCCTTATTTTCTGGATTCTAATAGTTTCTAGATTCGGTCTATCTGCAGATGCCATTGCAGTGCTCTTGTTGTTTGGTGCTGCAAACTCTCCAGCGTGTCACCAGAGAAGCTGGGATTGATAAGCAATTCATGTTCTATAAATTGGAATGTTCTTCATCAGTTTTTCCAAGAAAACGTATCCTCTTCTGTCACTTATAATATAGTTTCCACTTCATGCATATGCAGCTCTCTCTCTCTCTCTCTCATAAGCCGCTTATGTTTCTTGTTAACGTTATTTGATTTCGTAATTTTAATTAGATGATCATACCCAACTAGCTAATTGCCTAAGAACTTCCGTTTGTTATTGTTTTGATGCCTTGACTTTAACTTTGTGATGTTTTTGGATGTTATGGAACTTTGTTATTTTTCTTTTCTTGGAAAAGAATTAATGCAACTTAACTTACTTCAGATGTATTGAATTCTTTGAAGCCCAGTTTCTCTTGTGCCAATGTTCTTTTTAAGGATATATTTGGCTTATCTGATGCCACTCTTAGTGTTCTGTCAAAGCCATGCTTCCATAGCACTAATTGCTGTCTCAGTAACAACAAATGCCTGTAAGTGGAGCAATAGCTTCAATATAAACTTGATTTTGCATTACCATACATTATTTTTTTCACAAATATATGAGTTCTGGTGTGTACTTCGGTTTATTTGATCCTCTTCTTACTTTGGGGTGTACATAGGCATCATAGGCTCTGCATAAGAAAACTTATGCGGTATACACTGTTACGACCTATAAAGGAGAAAAATAAATGAGATGGTTTTCATGTAAACTGTGGAGAAGTGGTTTGGAAATACTCTTCTGATCCTGGGGGATGCTCGTGATCCGTTGATAATCACCTGAAAAAGAATAAACACTCCGGTCAGGGGTGCCGGAATTAGTACTCCGACGGACAAGTCAGTCTCAACACTCAAGATTGCTTGTATTCTAAGTTAAGCACAACAATTCACACATACCTCTTTCTGGCTGATGTTCTTCTATTTATATCCTTTCTTCCTTGGGCCTCGTGATTAGGTCCATTTCCAACTACCTATTCGGCACATTTTGTAGTAGGCCGATCTTTACTCGGCCCCTTGCTTAATCGACTATTTGGCCGAGTAAAGTTGGATTCGAGTTTGCGGGCCGATGCCGAGTGCCACGAATTCGGATTCTCCAAGGTTTGACTATCCGGAATCCCTATGACTCCCAATATTCGGCCCCCACATAAACAATGCTGAGGTGAGGTCCCGTTGAAAGGTTCATATTGTACATCATTCTTTAAGATTGTTAAGTATGATATATATCATGGGGGCATTTTTTCACTTGCATAATTTTGTTCATCATTTCCTAGTAAGTGGCAGAAGTGCTAGTCGAACTCAGTTGTGGTTCTGAGGTTCTGAAATGGGGAGGGACAGTCAAAATAGACACAGGTTGGACTGATATGACAGAAGTCTCAACATGCTGAGACTGGTCTTTATTGGTCAAACTATACTACTGTTTTTGACTTTGTGTTCTAATCAATTCTTTTTGGCTCCAGATATCACTCACTTGTTAAATTGCTTAAAAATCTCATACACAATGCTCGGCGTTGCCAACATTTGAGGTTATTGGAAAAGCACTGTTCCATTCTATCCTCAGATCAAAATACTGAACGAAGAGTTTGCTCCATCTTTGAGGTTAGTATTCCCCAGAAGACTGTGTTATGTTTGTTGTCGTAACAGAGGCAATATAGTAATAGTATTTTTGTCATCTTTGAGGTTAGTATTTCCCAGAAGACTGCTATGTTTGTTGTTGTAACAGAGGCAATATAGTATTTTTATACTCTTCGAGGAATGGTGGGTTCCATAAGATTGAGGACTGTAAAGTTATCATCTCTCTCTCTCTCTCTCTCCTTTTTTCTTTCGTGGTTTCTTTATTTTTTCTGTCAGAATGTCTTGTCTTGTTCCTCCGATGGTAATTTTTTTCTTCTATGGTAATGTTCAGGTTTTGTTCAAATAGTTCTCAGCTAGGCATGTTTGAACTACTCCATAAAAGAATTCTTTTAATTTTTTCATTTATGTAATCTTATGGATGTAAGTATTTATCAGCTTTACGAGCACCTGACCATTTTGTCCTTTCATTAAAAATGCAGCAATGCCTCATAAACTATATGTTAATATTTTTATTCTGCTTTGAAGTAGAAAGTGTAATGTTTGTCGCATTTGGGTCTCAGGGAAATAAATTCCAAACAAATTCACTTGGGAAACGACATGCCAAGGTTCTACAGCAAGCAAAGTTACCACTTGATAAATGTAGTAGTTTGGAGACCGACCTTGGCAAGAGAACTCCTGAAACAAGTGATCATCAGTCTGTGCCAAGTCTATCTTGTTGTACAAAAAATCAAGTGGTGTCATTTATCTGGGCTGTTTGCAGGAATATAGTTCCTCCAGATCTGCTTGGGACTACTTCTAATTGGAGAATTTTGAGGAGGAACATCTCCAGGTTTGTTCGGCTTCGAAGATTTGAAAAATTCTCTTTAAAGCAGTGTATGCATAAGTTGAAAACATCATTGTTTCCTTTGCTGTCAAATAAGCACTCTTCATGCTGCTCGAATGATTTTGTGCTAAAGCACACAAAAGTGCAGAGTGCAGATATGCCTAGGAAGTGCAGTCAAGTAAACAATGTTGCTGATGCTATGAAACATCAAATTGTGGAGAAATGGATCTTTTGGTTGTTTTCATGCCTAGTAGTGCCCTTGGTGCAAGCAAACTTCTATGTCACGGAAAGTGAGCGTGGGAAACAAGATGTATTTTATTATCGAAAATCAATCTGGAAGAAGGTTATGAACTTGAATGATCAGATCTATCGTCCATTAAATGATGCATCAGTTAGAAACATTATAGGAAAAAGGTCATTTGGGTTTTCAAGGGTTAGACTTCGTCCAAAAGGAAATGGAGTTAGGGTTCTAGCAAATCTTAAAGCATCATCAAGGATGCCAGTAAAAGAACACTCTTTGAAAGTTCTATCCTGTGGGCTGCTGGGTAAGTTATCTTTGCATCCAAGACATGTTAAATACAACACTTTCAAGTCTGTGAACAATGTGCTTCGTGATTTGCATGCTTTCCTAAAAGGTTTACAGATGAAAAAACCAGAGAAGCTAGGCTCATCAGTATTCGATTACGATGATGTTTACAGAAAGTTATGCCCTTTCTTATCAGTTTTGAAGAATGGGTCAACCACTGTACCTTCTGTATTCATTGTTGTCTGTGACGTGTCTAAAGCATTTGATTCTGTTAATCAGGATAAGTTGCTCAGTGTAATGAAGGATGTTATAGAGAATGATGAATGTCTTTTAAAGCTGTCTCATCAAGTTGTCTGCACGAAGAAATCTTTATGGGTTCGTCAGAACATAATCCTAGCAGACCAAGATATCAGCATTGGGTCTACTAAATTTACTTCTGCTTCTTACCATTCATTGCATGGCATTCTTGTCAATCAGGTATTTTGATTGAATTGCTTTTGGATATCACCCATTCTGTTTTGTACTTTGTTTTTGTTTCTATTAGATTTTCATAATTTATAACCGCTTTTGGTGAAGTTGATGTTGTACTGCTCTTTGATATATATTATATATATACACTATTGCAATTTGTATTTATATGTTTATGATATTATTTTATTTAGAGCAAGATAAACTTATACCTGCTGTAAGAAACACTTACATCCTTCCATAACTTTTGTTGGATTTGTTAGATACACGTGATGCAACATCTATTGCAGGGGTTGAAGTGGTTTCGGACGTGACTTCCGACATGGCTATGACGGTTTTAGGGCTGCTGCGTTTTTTGTTGCTCTGATACCAACTTAGAAAATATGAGGAAGAAGAACTCCGAAAATATGAGGAAGAAGGAATATATTTCTGTTATATTCAAAACTTCTTATTTTACAAGACCAAATGACACTCCTTATATAGGAGATATTACAAACATCATTATAACCCATTATATGCCACTTACATATTATATATTACCACTATCTACCACTATCATATTATATACATGCCACTATCTACCACCAACACCACTATCATATTCTATACATGCCACTATCTACCACCAACACCACTATCATATTCTATGCATTAACACAAATTTCCAGCAAACATCTATTGCATGGCTAAACAAGTATGAAGTCTAAGGGTCTCACGATCATGAAGAAGCTTTTTTGGTCAAAAAAAAGTGTCTATGGTAGTGTTTAGTAGTTAAGTGGATTTTAGTAATTTCATGATTTGCTGTACATGGGCTGTGGGAGTTGGCCATAGGTTTTCTTTTGGATCAAGTTATTAAATGGATCATTAATACTACGTCTAGAATAGTCTTTGTGGTGAAAAGGGGTCAATTTTTTATTTTTTGATTTCATAAAAGGGTTGGAGTAAAAATGGAAGTCGTAGTGATAGCTGGTCTAGATTATTCGTAGGTACCCAATACTCTTAATTTCTAAATTTGAGTCCTAGTCCTTGTAGGAGTTAGAGAGTCTTTAACCTATAAATATATATAATTTCAATAATTCAATGGAGTCGATATTATGGAAATTGGAGATTGAGTTGGTGTGAATTTGCCTAACTCTTGCAAGGGTGAAACACCTCTTTCTCTCTTCTTCTCTTTCTCCTTCTTTGTGCACATACCCAAGCTACTATTTTTGGATTATTATTTAAACCCAAAACCCTATCCAATGAAGCCCAAATCAACCCTAATCACTTTTCCTACCTATTGGTTTTCAATTTAATCATTAAAATGCTAAATTACTTTCTGTTTCGGCCTTTAAATAGCCTCTATTCTGAAAATTCAGAAAGATCTCCTACATCAGCATGCACTTATATGTTCAGTGTGCATGATCAACGTGAGAGTGGCATTCAAAGCTATAGTTGGGTTGATAAAAGATTAATCCATCAAAAAAGGTTCATAAGCGGTGTAAGGATAACTTTTACATCCAGTTTAATAAGTTTATCCTGCCCGATATACTTAAATGTCACTTACATGTGACAAGATAACCTATAATATTCCAGTAAGCATCTAATATAATGTTTCAATTAGATTGCTGCAAAAAATAAATAAATAAAATAAATAAAAATTGTTTACCTGTTCGTTGATGGATGGCATCACATACCCATATTCCTAGCATCATTTTCTATTTGATTCAAGTGTTGGAGTGATTTTGTTACAGGTGACTGATCAGCATTAGAAACGTTATGGTTGTGTTGCGTTTTTCTATGTGTGTTAATGGTTGGTCTGTCATTCCTGATTGGATGATCAGTTTTTTTGTTTTTAAAAATGAAATATGTCATTTTCAATTGATTTGTTATAATTAAGTTCTATAGCACAGTGAAATTGTTGTCATTCTGAATTGATTTATTTTAATTGAGTTCTATAGTGCAATGAAATTGTTGTCATTCTGAATTGATTTATTTTAATTGAGTTCTATAGTGCAATGAAATTGTTGTCATTCTGAATTGATTTATTTTAATTGAGTTCTATAGTGCAATGAAATTGTTGTCATTCTGAATTGATTTATTTTAATTGAGTTCTATAGTGCAATGAAATTGTTGTCATTCTGAATTGATTTATTTTAACTGAGTTTTGTAGAGTGTCAGGTACCAAAAAAATTGTTGAGGGTGCCTTTAGGCACGAGTTATAGATTTGTATATTTTTTACTTTACATTTTACTATTTTGATTTGCAATATTACTGAACATTATAAATTTTATATGTTTATTCCTTGATTTGCATTAAGGTTAGGGAAAGTTGTTATTTTTAATTGAGTTCTATAGAGCTTGTCGTACAAGTAAAATTGTTAAAAATTCTTTAAGAAGAATCAAAAAATGCTATGGACTCCATAAATTTTAGTATGATACGTATAAATTATAACTATATTTTGATCCCAATAGTATTTACGCTGTGTCTTTAGGCACATGCATACACTAGTAAATCTATATAATAAAGTAGGACGATTTTTGAAAATATATAAAATGTGTCAGAGATACATTTTGTTTGAATGATTGAGATGATTCTTAATCAATATTCGATGGTGTGGCTTGTTTATCAATTGCTGCACTTTAGAAGTTCAGGCAGACTACACAAGGTAACTCCCTTTCTTATTTGACTAATGATGTAGTCTTGGTTGTTAAAATCTTACAATTCATGATTTGATGCGAATTTCAAGCAAAACGTTGGTTTCGATTTCCTTAGTTGAATCTTAAATTGAGTAAATCTTATGATTCATTGTAGTTCACTGGGATTCGTTACGATTCACTTTTAGTTTTGTTTGCTTAATGCATGAAATGAAACTTTGTCATTTTTGCAAAATAGAAAAAGAGATCAATCAAGTATATTATTATAAATAGCTTTATATGTAAATACATGTATGCAGTTTTGTTATATTGATATTTATTTCATTTTAAACACTGTATTTTTAAATGTATATACATATATATAATTATAGATTATGCTAAATAAAGTGAATTTTACAATTCACGATTCACTATTTAGCAAAAATGATTCACGTTTTGATTCGCGACTTGACAACAGTGGATAATGATATGATTATGATAGCAGTTAGGGCGGTGAGTTTATTGGGATTTTTTATATTGATCTCAGTATTGTCAGATCAACAATGTCTTGCTACTGGCTGAAACTCAGACAATGCAACTATAATTCACAAGAATTAATGAAAATTAGCAGAAAATTTCTGAATAACAAGAAACAAACTCTGTAACAAGTAGACTGATTTAACTAAAACATTCCTACATTCATTGTGAAGAGCAGTGATATACAAATAGCTATGAATTCTCATGGAAATATGTGGCTCGTTTGGCTACTGTAGTGTCAAAAAAGACAATGTACAGTTATCAAAGTAAGAAACTATAAATATGCCAAATTTGATCACATCACATTTGAACCACCCAAAAGCTAACTAAACTTTTTCTTGCATACTATTGCTATATTAACTCTAAACATATGAGTATTTGGGGAAACATATCTTTTAGGACGTACATCTAGATATAAGCATTGAATTTGATTATGATATATTTTTGTTTGGCAAAAAGCTTGATGTTTATAAGCTTCTAGTAATTTTTGTCTAATCATCCAAATGGTAACCAATCTTTTTCTTGTGCATTGTCATACTAACTCTAAACTTATATGAATATTTGTGGAAACATGACTTTCATCAGATTCATATATCTTAATACTGAATTTGATTATGATTGTTTTATTTGGTAAACGCTTCTGTTTACAAGCTTTCAGTGGTTTTTGCCTCGAGATGTTATTTGAAGAAGGAAAAAAGAAAGAGGGAAGAAAAAAATAGAGGAAACAAAAAACAGAACTTTTAAAAAGAAAAGATCTGGATGTTATATTATTGTGCAATTGGTTTGACAAATTAATGCACAATCTACCTTCATTTTAACTGTAACTCATCTTTATCTACTGATCAGGTATCTGAATTTCCATTTAAGTTCAACTCTTACTGTCTGCTGGCAAGGCAAACCAGGTCGTCATTTGAAGGCAAAGTTGTGTGATTATCTGCGGCCTAAATGCCATCCCATATTCTACGATTCTAATATCAATTCAGCAGTTGTTGTGAGATTAAACATCTATCAGGCTTTTCTGCTATGTGGAATGAAGTTCCATTGCTATGTCTATGACTTGTCTGATATTTGCAGACTCAACACGAAATCATATATAGGCATTATTGAAGGGTCTTTGAGGTATGTACTTAATTGTTACCTCAACATTCAGTACACCTTTGTATTTTTAATTAAATACTTTCTTTCTCAAATGACGTTAAATTAAGCGTTTTGTGTTGGCCAATCGGCTAACCATGTATACTTCTTTAGTAAAGTGTTTTCTTGTTTGAAACTACCCAGTTCTAAGCTGTATAATTCAATTATCAAAGCTTATTTCTAAGACCCTTTTTTTTCAAAAAACAAATAAATAAATAAAATGCTTTGGCATTTTGCTCTGTTGATTAATAGGTATATGCGCAAGCTCATAAAGAAAAGGATGCATTCTATGAATGTTGATTCGACTTTCCGCCCTATTTTTCAAGTGGAGAAGGGAGAAGTTGAATGGCTTGGACTTGTGGCTTACATCCAAGTATTGAAGAGAAAACAATCACAGTACAAGGGATTGTTGTCTTTGTTGAGGTCTAGATTGATAGCGCAAGAGAAGGCAAAATGTGTTTCTTCTATTCTGAAAGCTGCAGTTGACGATTCACGTTCCTCTGTGATGTGGAAAATCATGTACTAGATCTAGAGACGGATAAAGTAGTTGTGTTGATTGACTTATGTTTCACTCTGAATGAAGAAACTTGTAGTTTTGAGCATTTCCTTGGTTGTCTGCCTTTTGATTACCTTTTTCCTCTTCTATTTCAAAGATTGATGCTACAATGCTTGAACTAAATGTTAGATGATCTAAGGGGAAAATTAATCATTTTGTATTAACAATTTCCAATCATGTTCCTTGTGAAACCTATCATTCATATGACATACAAAAAGAGACTCTAGAAATGTGTACCTTTCTCTTCTAGTAAGATATTTTGCGCTTTTTTATTTCAGTTTATTCTTGTTTTTAGTGAATTTTGAAAAATATTATGTCAAATTTTTGTACTTTTTGTTTTTGTACCAAAGAATTCGAAAAAAATTTAAAAAATTTGAGAAAAGATAAAAATAAACTATTTTTTTTTTTTATATATACAATTTAGCTTCTTTTTTTTAATGTTTTTTTTTTGGTTCAAAATTAACTCAATTTTTTAAGAAAAATAAAATTTAGATTCATTTAATCAAGATGGACTTTAAAAAAGTCATAAAAAATGACTATAATTTTAGCAAGGTAAAAGCAACTCTAACGGTGAGGCATTGGAGTTGTTATTGCAATAAAATTATTCAGAATTCACTATTAATTTTGGGATACATAGTCTTAAATTATTTGGTTGGAAATGATATGTATTTCATATTAATTTTCTCATGGGATTAAATGTCTAGAAATGATTATCATATTGAATCTAATGTTTGATTGGAATATTATGAAGAATGATAAATGCTTAAAAGACTGTTTTATCCTTTTCAATTATTTACAAAATAATAGCAATATTAAACCCGTCTTTAATATTTTAATTTTTTTAATTAAATAAATAAAATATCAAATTTATTTTAAAAAATAATAATAATTAAATGATGAAATTAAAATAAAACATCAATAGAAATTTACCATTTAAATATAATACATAATTAATTAAAATACTTAGAGTGTAAATATGTTATTTCACCATTTAATTTCTTGGGATACGTATCCCACCAACTATATCGAGGCTTTTCCCATATTAAGCCAATTTACTATCTTAATTCCCAAACTAGGTGTAGTTTGGACAGAATTCTCAAACTAGGCTAAAGCGCTATTACCAATCACGCTTTCACTGTTTGGAGCAGAAAATTTGATGAATAGTGAAAGTGCTATTCCAAACCACGCTTTTAATTAAGAAAGCGTGGTTACAAACCACGCTTTTAACATAAATTTATTTTCTGAAGAAAATGTGGTTCCAAACCACGCTTTCACTATGCATATTATTTAAAAAAAAATTTCTGAAGAAAACGTGGTTCCAAACCACGCTTTTATTGTGCATATTCTTTTCTTAAGAAAACGTGATTTGAAATCATGCTTTCACTGTGCATTGTTTTTGTTAAGAAAACGTGATTTGGAATCACGCTTTCACTGTTGATAAATGAAAGCATGGATTGAAACCACGCTTTTAAAACTTATATAAAACACCCAAGCCCCCTCATTTGCAATCACATTTTTTGCACTTACGTTTTTTCTACTCTCGCTCTCGCTCTCCCTCTCCCTTTGCTCTCAGAGTCTCACTCTCGCTCTCGCTCTCGCTCTCACTCTCCCTCTACCCTCAGACTCTCACTGTCACTGTCGCTCTCCCTCTGCTCTCACTCTCTGTCTCTGCTCTCTCTCTCTGTCCGTGGTATGGCATCTATCTCTCTCTGTCTCATTTGAATTTTATGTATTTATTGTGTTTGTGAAAATGTGAATGTGTGGTTTAAAATGTGAATGTGTGTTTGTGAAAATGTGAATGTTAGGGTTTAAATGTCAATTATTAAATGTGTTAGGGTTCTAATGTGTTAGGGTTTTGAATTAGGGTTTTAAATGTGTGGTTATGAAATTATGAAATCATAAAATGTTAGGGTTTTGAATTGTGAAATCAGAAATTATGCTTGTGGTTTCAGAAATTAGGGATTGGAATTGTTTGAAATCAGAAATCAGGGTTTGGAATTTTGCTTGTGAATCAGAAATCAGAAATTATGCTTGTGGATCCTGTCTATATTTTTTGAAATTAGGGTTTGGAATTTTGAATTGTGAATAAACCAACCTATATTTGTTGAATTGGAAATTTTATTTTTTTCTTGTTAAGAGGAATTAAAAGGAAATTAGGGTTTGAAATTAGGGTTTTAAAAGTAATTTTTTTAATTAAGAATAAAATTATGCGAATTGAAATTCATATAATTGAGAATTGTTAATGTCATATTATGAAATTCATATAATTGAGAATTGAGAATTGAAATTCATATTATGAAATTCATGAATTGAGAATGAAGGTGGACTGACAATTTCAATTCGAGGTCCACATGCTTACATATATATGATCATTTTGTTTCAGAAAATAAGACTGTAAACTGTATGATTGAATTCAAAATCTGAAAATTGAAATGAATCTGAAAAAATCAAAAGTTAAGAGATTTGAAAAAAAATAAATAAAAAATTGAATTTATTGCATAACTGCCCATATAACTGATATAGGGGTATTTTTGAAAAACCCAAAATATGAGACGTAAACACCCAGAGAAGACTTTTCTTTATAATAGTACTACATATATATACACCTTTATTCAGTATTTCACTTGGTAATATCAAGGTGGGGTTATATACTTGAATTTGCCGTCTATTATACTATATGAGAAACGGTATTTGTCACATGATTTATTTCACTATACTTCTTTACCCTCTAGGTGTATTTATTCAATTCAAGACATTGTGCATATTTAATAAAGGGCAAATTTCACTTCAATGTGCATGTGCAAACTTCCTATATAATTTGGAAATAACTATAATGTTCTTGTGGTTTGTGAACTAAATGAAGTATACCGTCAGACGTTCAATCCAAGTTAACATCAAGTGTGAAACATGTGCTAGGTCATAAGGGGGTTATGTTCTTATTTTCAAATATCAGAGGTAAATCACACATGGAGTAAAGCAAAGGGGGTTAAAGTCAATTTTATCTTTCAAAAAAATGACAAATATAATATGAATTTCAATTAAAAATACTAAGTGTATGAAAAGATTAACGTTTTTTCCTAAGTTAAATTTCATGAAACTAATCTCTACTAAATGAAATTATAAAAAAAAAAAAATTTAATTTTGACTATATTTTATTCAAAAAATATATATTTTTATTGACTTCAAAATAATAAATGAAAAGATCATGTTCTCTCAAATAAAAGACAAAATGACTATATTAACCTAAAAATACTATTTTATGTATTTTTTTTTATTTAATTGTGTAGGTTACATAAGAGATTTAAGCATTTCTAGCATCCTTTAATGAAAATAACATTAAAATTTGTAACTAATTATCGATTAAATGGGTTATCTGTGTCAATTTCATATTATGCAGCTTTGACATAACCCTATTTATATATCATGTTATTATATAGTGTCATATTTGTGTGTGTTGAAAATGTTCAACCCTAACCCCTAACTTTGTGTACGATTCATGTTGTGTTAGAAATTCCCACTTATAATAGAATCAAAGTAGGTTCAAGTGGAGTGCCTTTGGCATATTATGTGATCAATGATACTAACAAAATTGACGTTGTTAATTTATAAAACAATTGTAAGACCAGTGATACTTTGCAGTTCACATAATATTGGACAATTAAGAAACAACAAGTTCATGAAATGATAGAGAATAATGTGATAGGATCACCGTAAAAGGAAATGTTAGGGGAAGACGTAAATTGACTTGGGATGTGATAGTAAAAAAATTAAACGAATTTTTTTAATTTAACCGAGCATATAGCTTTTAATAGTATGAAATGACGAAAAAAAGGATTCATGTATCGTAGCCGACTTGATTGAGACATAAAGCTTTGTTTGGTTTAGTTTCGTTTGGTTTATTTCACTGTATTTGGGGTCAGGCACCCAAAATATTATAAAAAAAATTTAGGATTTATTTTCATTTGGGTTTCGCTAAAGGTTTCCACTTAGTTGTTAACTACCTAAATCCATACTTTAGGACATAGCATGTCATAGAAATTTTAAAAAATTTAATGAGCTGAATTTGTAATACATATAATAGCATTATAGTAGAAATTAAAATTTCCTCACAAAACTTAAGAAAATTTGAAAAAGTTTTTGAAATGGATATTAAATGAAGAGATTTATCGCCACTTCCGCTTTGTGACTGTCCACCACCATTAAAAAGGAAAATCTTAACATTATGTTTTAATAATTTTTATTTTGATTTATATAATTAGAAGTCATTATTAATTGCACCGTGCCTTCAGGCACGGGTATACACTAGTTATAATATATGCATGAAAAGAGTCTTAAAACATTCTAATTAATAGTCCATAGAAATTTTCTAGGTAAGAAGGACAAAAAAAAAAGGCACTTTGATGGGTAAGCCTGTATTTCATAATACCAAATAATTGCTACGGATGGCCCGATAGATTCACATGGATAACTATCCAAAATTTACTACATAGATTTAACCACCAACTTAAATTTTCTCTCTAATTTTTGGCCATTATAAATTATCTCTTTATTTTTTTATTTTTTTATGTTTAAGAAAAAAAAAAGAGTAAATAAATTAAATTTTTTTCTTACTTTTCAGAACGAGCCAAAATGAGTTTTTTGTTTGAATTTCATAGCAAAGCCTCTATGACCTCTAAAAAGTGGACGAGGGTTACTATTTCACATAGGAAATAACTTTGTTATTAAGGTCCCTAATGGCACAAGTTTGAGCAAATCAAATTAACTTATTTGTAATTGTCTATAAATCTGAAGAATTGGATCACTAGTTTTAAAAAATGAAGAACAATGTTTGAAACCTCTATTTTATATTGTCCAAATCAATTGAGTTCTTTCAACTCAATGGAACAAATATTTAATTATCTACAAAACTTACACTATGATTTAAGATGTTTGTATGACTTGTCCAATTTTGTCCAGCCTCACTGAATAAGAAAAATACTTGATAGAATGAAGTGTTTTTTAAATGTGTGATATATCTATCTACTTTATCAAAATACTAAAAAATAGATCAAGATTTATGAAAAGAAAACAAAATAAGTTTTTTTAAAATTGGTCCCGCTTACATGCGTACGATTAAATCATTGCCTAAATTAATAGTTGTGTAGAGTCATTATTATTATTTTTATTATTTTTTTATTTTGAGTGAATGCCTTTTAAAAATTAATCAT